TATATAAAATTTGTACAGTATAGGTAAAGTCATGTAAAAAATATTAAGCAAGTTGAATTTAAATTTTTAAAAATTACTTTGATACTATAAGGTATTATTAAAATATCAGCAGATAAGTCACTTTCATTAAATATATACCTGTAGGGTGTGGAAATAGTTCTGCGCTTCCTCAATCACCAGTTTAGTTGATTCCACATTGTTCACGCAATACTCAACATAGAGGTTGGCAAGTGAATTGCTATGCGTCACAAAGCAATGTCCTACGTCCTCGGGAAGTAGCAGGCCTCCGACAACCGCAGTTACCGGATTGAGAGAGGACAACTTCGTAGTGTTTGTATCGGAAACATATTTTGCTAATGCTGGTTCAAAAGTGCTTTCATGGAAGCTTAGCAAAGCAGGTAGATTACCAAAAATGATAGCTTCTTTGCCAACAATACCTGAAGGGATCTTCCATGAGAAAGTTGAATAAGGTAAAGAATAAGGCGAATAAACAAAATAAGGTTCTAAAGATGCATAAAAAATTAGGTCCCAGCATATTTAGTTCGTTAATTTTTTTTAAATATCCACAAACAAAATACTAAAGATAACAAGTGATAAAATAGCTAACAAAGACACATGAGGGTTTATATATCTGAAAAAAAAGATTGTTAAATTTAATTCGATGAAGAATCTCAATATAAAAACGCATCTTGGTCATATTGGCAGGAAGACTTAGAGAAACGCATCTTGCCCTGAGTCCATCGTATACATAATTATTTCCAAAGTCGGACCGTGGACATCGTACATTCTCAGACGTTTCGCCGGCATCGTCAGTGAGTTTTACCATTTGTGGCACCGTATTTCAAATCGTCAGAGACAACTGAAGACGATCAGTTGACCAACGTGTGCTAAACAGAGATGGTATCTTCCATTCTGCCCTGGCATATTCAAATTTCCTATATCCTTGAATCACGCCTTCATTGTAACAATATATTACTTGCTTAATTAAATGTTGTACGGTATCCCACGCTCGCCTTCTCACGTCTTGGAAAGTACAACGTCCACGGTCCTACTCTGGAAATGAAGATGCATAAAATAGTCTCTGGACTAGGTGCGTTCCTACCAAATGACCAAGTTGCGAGAAAAAGATCAAACAACTTCTATACAACGAAAGAAGACTGCGACCACACAAAAGGCCACACCATCTTGGTGTTCATACCTTCGATTAAAATATATTTATATTTGGTCTTCCATGTTTTAGTAGAAATAAAAAATCAGAGTATTAGCCAAACAAATTATCCACTATCACAGTAAGATCAATAAAAGGCTAATATAGAGTGGTTAGATTCCTAATTAAAGGTAGTAACTATGCCCTAAGAAGATTGACGCCTCACAGCGAAAATCGTATTCCCAATCACATTAGGAGAATCCAATTGTATTGTAGACATGAAGATGAGATTTGGGGCCTAAATAATAATGGAATTGATGGAAGAGCACTGCTTGGATAACATTACTGCAATTTTAATAACCGTTTTTAGATATGATAACTACGAAAAACTTTGTTGTACAAATGCCTTATTGATTTAATAACAAGAATGCCTAGTTAAATTTTAAACCGTCCGGCTGGTGCCCCTCCTCAGGAAAACTTACAGTTTCAGATAGAATAACTGTCAGATCACTGTGAAGAATAAACAAGTAGTACCTGCATGTCGGCTCTCGGAGGTTGAATGCAGCCTGCTCGATAAGTACTCATACATTGTCTTAGAGACTCAATATAGACACGCTCTGTTGTGATCAGTTCATTCAGAAGCATATGTCTCCGTTTGACCAGTTTCCATTGTTCGGGAGTCAGGTTTGCTGTCGCCGCATCTGTAGCAGCAACTGCTGCAGCTGCGGCAGTTGAGTTGGAAGTAGCAGTAGAGGCACCAGAGCTAGAGCTGATGATTGACCCGGCAGCTTGACCCCCACAACTAGCCAACGGAGAACTGTCGGCACTGCTAGCACTAGATACGGAGGTACTGGTAAGGTAAAAGGATAGAGAAGATTCTACAACATAGTTAAAGACCCAATATGGAGAAAAATCACTTAGACAAGAAGTTTTCGTGCTAAATATTCCAATCTGTTTATTAAGCTATTCTTCTTCCCCTCATCACAAATACAACCATAATCTTGATTGTCACTATGCTACTAGCATTTAAAAATGATGACAAACCGATTAGATATCTCCTGTGGCTGTCTAGTGCAAAAAGGTGGGAGTGTGGCCCCGCTGGTCGGAAGTGATGGTGAAAATAGAGCAGAAGTACAACCCAGGGATAAAGTGTTCGATACTGGCTGGAGTGGCAATGGACCTGACAGCGAGGCCTTAGGGGACGCAAGGCCTGGTGTTGTGCGCATTGGGGGCTGAGGTGGCTGCAACGAGGAATGATTATTTTGTAACGGAGGAAGCGGAGGCAGAGAGGGCGATATAACGGATGGTTGTGAAAGTTGTTGCAGAGGTGGTGGTGGCGGGGCTGGTGTGATAGGCAAAAAGTTTAGAAGTCTAGCAAGAAGAGCTTGAATGAGACCGACATGGAAAGAGCCTGTTGCAGTAGCTGCAAAAAGAACAGCTTCAAGGTGAGTGTAGTTGCGCTTTAGCTCGATAATCAGTGGATGGCCATAGGGAAGTCGGGCCACGAGGCCGGAATTCTGCTGGCGAGATGGTGAAGTCGGTGTAGAAGAGTCCGAAGCTAGTTGGATACAGCGCTGGATCAGCTGTTCGGTATCAGACTGACGAACAGAAAGAGAAAAATATATATATATATATGCGCACTCTAAGCAAGAGGCACATGCATTAGTGGCTATAAGCGTTTGAACAAAAAAACACCTTGAAAAAGATTATCGGTCATGTATAATTGATATTTAAATTATTCCACAATGATAAGACTATGCCTCATGGTTCGATTAAATTTTATTTAGTCCTGCTTCTAGGAGCTATTCTCATCGAGGGCTAAATTCAATTTCGACTTTGATTAGGATTCATCATCACCCAAGGTGGGAATCGAAGCCAGGTAGTGCAGCATGTAATTTAGACAAATATACACTACGCAACATTGCCAAGTGTCGTTGGATCAGAAGGCAGAAATTAATTACCTGGAAGGCCAGGGCTTTCAAAATTCCCAAGTATAGTGGGATTTTAATCGAAGGTATGAATACCAAGATGTATGGCCTTTCGTGTGGTTGCAGTCTCCTTTAGATGAATAGAAGTTGTTAAACCTTGCTTTCGCAACATGGTCATATTGGTAGGAAGACTTAGGGGAACGAACCTAGTACAGGGTCCATTGTCTGCAAGATTATTTCCAAAATTGAACCGTGGAAGTGGTAAATTCCCAAAATGTTTCGCCGGCATCGTCAGTGAGTATCGCCATTATTAACACCATTCAATAACTCGTCAAAGTTATAGAATCGGTATTTTAAAAATTAAATAGTGTAAAGTAAGTTACATCTCCCGATCCCCAACATCATATGCTGTA